AAAAAAAACTCTTATAAAATGATCCAAGACCTTATCAAATGGCCTGGAACCCCTATAAATAAATCTAGGCCCTCACAGGTGTCTAGGCCATTCCAGATGTCTATTTTGTCTGCTACCTGGATAAATGAGTAACCGCAACTCACGAGAAAGGCTGAATTCTTAGTATCGCTTAAACTGACTGGACCTACTACTTTAGAACTGGGATTCTCCTGTCGGGGTAAGAGGTACCCAGAAACACTGGGGCAGCCTTTCTGAAGGTCATAAATCCCCCCTTCAAACATGCAACCACCACCTGGTGTTGCTAAGGGCCTTCAAGTCCATTCTGACTCATAGTGACCCTGTATAGTGTTTCTTAGTCTTTAAATCTTCGTAGGAGCAGAAAGCCTCACGTTTCTCCTTTATGATTCAGCAATCTCACTCCTAGGTATATACCCAAGAGACCTGAAAGCAGCAATGAGAAGAGGTACATGTACACCTATGCTCATTGCAGCCCAATTCACAGAAGCCAAAAGGTAAAAAGGTGAAATCAACCTAAACATCCAAAAATCAGTGAAAGAATGGACAAAACGTACTGTGTACATACAATGACTATCATTCAGTCATAAAGAACATGCTACAACATGGCTGAACCTTAAAAAACCTGATGCTTGGTGAAAGAGGCCAATCACAAAAGGACAAGTATGGTATGATCTCACATAAAACAAGAATAAGCAATGTTTAGAGACCACAGTTTTTAACATTTTAAGAACAGGGTGGAGGAGAGAGAGGTTTTGTTTAGTGTTTATGGTGATGGGAAATTTGGCCACAATTATGGATGGTGGTTGCACAGCAATATCAATTGATGTCATTACAATAACAGACAAGGCTGTGTAGGAAGAACATCACAAAGCTCTATTCCTCTGGAGGCAAACCATGATTACCCATCCAACACTAAGATGCTACTACTTGCATCTCCCTACAAGAAAACAAATCTTCAGGTTGAAATTTTTCTTCTCTCACAGTTAAGTCCTAATGTTTTTAACACTAACTACTGAGTAGTGGTTACAAGTCCGCTGCTAATCTCAAGGTCAGCAGTTTGAAACTACCAGCTGTTCCATGGGAGAAACATGAAGCTTTCTGCTCCTATAAAAATCTACAGCCTCAGAAACATTAGGCAGGGTCACTATGAGTCAGAACCAACTCCTCGGCACATAACCATCACCACCACCCAAAATGCCAAGCCAAACCCACTGTTATCAAGTGGATTCCAGATCACTGTGACCCTAAAGGGTTTCTGAAATTGGACATCTTTACTGGAGCAGATAGCCTCATCTTTCTCTCTCGTAGCAACTGCTGGGTTTGAATCACAGCCCATGCAATTAGCATCCCGACACTTAGCCCACAGTACCATCAGGACCTATTTACCTACTGCCACTGAGGCTATATAGAAAAACCAAAATTTCAGAGCTGGGATATTATCATTTAAATTACATACTCTTTCCCCAAGGTGAAATTAAAAATCAAACCACAAAGGCACTGCCGACCAAAACATTCATCATCCCCTTGGTGCATTCATAAGCAAAAATGTCTAAGGTCACAAGTCTTCAGCTAATTAGCTGTTGCAGAGTTCTGAACCGCCTTACTTCCACTCATCTTCAACAGATGAAACACCCATTAACCTGGCCCAAGGCATAAGCGCAAGTTACATGCTAAGATTTGACTTTCGAGTGACTTTGGGAACACATAGTCTGATAAAAACAAATGAACAGTCTGACAGAAGACTACTCTCTGAGTTAAGAGAAAGGGCTCCTTTGATGCCAAGCCTTTTCCTTGAAAAGCTGCTGAGATCTTTGAGAGCAGCCCTCATCCCAGCTTAATTCATACTTACTATAGACAATCACACTGGGAAGCTTTCCAACCCCGTCCACTTCATCTAAAAGGCTTGCTTTCATTTGTCAAGCTGAGAGAAAACTAAGTGCTCTTAAGACCTGGTGAGGGCAACTCCCCCAAAACACTACTTTCCAATATGAATGAAAACAAACTACTAGAACAAAGCAAATAATAGTGCCAACCAGCAGGCCTTCTTACCAATCTTTTATAGGTCAGCCATTATCTGGGTAGCCAAGAATGGAGCCTGGGTGAAATATGAACATCATCAATTCCCAGCTCTCCATTAACAGGTCAGCAGGATGCCTAAAGGGGTCATGCCAGTCCAGCTCTGCTGCTCCCTCCCCGCTCCCTATCCTGGTAAGGAGTAGATATCTATGTAGTGTCATCAAAAACGAAAAGGCAATGCAATGCCAAAGTGCAGCATCTAAAATGCTTTAGAGCCTGGTAGAGTTCCAGTTTATCTCTTTGGAACCCTCTGATGCTCCCCCCCCATGTTAGTATATGGGGTTTTGTTGTAGTTGGTAGTATGCCATCGAGTTGGTTCTGACTCCCAGCTACCATGTATAGGGTTTCCAAGAGTGGCTGGTGGCTTTGAACTGCTAACCATGTAGTTAGCAGTCCAGTGCTTATCCTACAGCATGTGGATTACACATCGGGCTGCTGACCACAAGACTAGTGGTTCAAAACTACTAGCAGCTCTGAGGGAGACAGAGGATGCTTTCTGCTCCCAGCCTCAGAACCCTCATAGGGTCATTATGAGTCAGAATTGATTGATAGCAGTGGGTTTTATATGTGATTGTTATTGTTGTTGTTAAGTACTGTTGAATCAGTTCCGACTTGTGGTGGCCCCTGTATAGGGTTTCCGAGTGGGTGCTGAGTTTGAACTGCCTACCTTCCAGTTTAAACTGACCTTGTGGTCTAGTGCTTATCCTACAGTGCCACATCAGGATTCCTATGTGATTGGTAGTGGTGGTGGGCCATGGAGTTGATTTCAACTCACAGCAACCCTGCTTAAGGTTTCCAAAGCTGCAGATATTTCTTTACAGGAGCAGAACGCCTCATCTTTCTTCCATCATTAGGATTTAATAAAACAGTGACATTAAAATTTAAATGCACTGAACACTGAGAATAGAGAAAGGAGAAGCGAAAAGAATGAAATACTCATCTTTCTGAAGATAGGATTTGAAAAGGCTTTTCCATTCATCACCAGAGGAACATTTAGTAAAAACAACAAAATACTTGAGATATGAAAGACTGCAACTAACCCAAAAAACAGCAGAATGTTCAACACACTAACACTCCAACAAAAATGAAAAAATGTAAGCAAATAAATAAAAAGAGCAACTGGATTTATTCTGTCAGATTCACATGGTGGTGATGCTGAGCCAACAATGATTTCTGTAAACAGCCAACCCTAACACTTCACTTTTTGTCTCCTGCAAATGTCAAGAAGCACCTTAATCGTGGTCTTCCTTGTTGACGACATAAATATGCATGCAGCTCCTCAGACACCCTGCAACTTTCTCAACACAGACACCCAGCAGTAATGTCACCAGACCACACAGCCTGAGATAGTCCACATCCTCCTCTTTCTGTACTCATTGACTTGTTTCTCTCTAGAAAGGGTCAGGAGTCCTGGTGTGGCACGTTCGGATAAGCACTAGACCACAAGGTCCATTTGAACCGCAAGGTCGGCAGTTTAAACTCACCAGCCACTCCTCGAAAACCTTATACAGGGCTGATAGGAGTTGACTCAATGGCACTTAACAACAACAGAGATGTTCAAGTCATTAATATCCTTTTGTAGTGTGAAGTAGGCAACCACAGCTACAAGAAGTAACCCAAGTACAGACCCAGATCTCTACACAGAGTATACTCCACTCACTCTAGTTTCTATGTCCTACCAACTAAGAAGAGTCTACCCAGCCCCCAAATCTGTGGGCTTCTCTGCACAAATGGCAAAGGTGGACCTTTCACCACTGCAAAGCCTACTCTGTATGGAGAAAATGCTTTGCACTACATTTTCCCCTCCATGAGGAGGCTTGAGATCTGGCTCTTTTACCTTTTGTAGAAATGGAAGCGCTCTGTGAGGAGCAGAAACTGCTTCTCTCCTTGAAGGAAGAACTGTCTGGCCCTGGAGACACCAGACTTCTTAGTGTACTCGCAGATGTAAGTGAAGTTCAGTTCTTCCTTCTTGAAGTAATTTCGAAGACGCACAAAATCAAAGTAGGAGGGGACATAGATGAGCGTGTGAGACATGACTGCGTCACGATACTGTGGCAAAATCTTGTTCACGAAAACATGAAACCTGGTGTTGAGAGGAAATGGCAAAGTCAATGGTCTAGAGCTGAATGTGTAGTGTTACCATGAACCATGTGAGCCTGGAAAGGGCATGATCTCCCTCCCTCTCATCAAAGAGGCTAAGAGGACTTACTTCAACTCAGACATACTTACTGACCAAACTTGATGAGCACATTAAAAAATGAGTGCTACCATTATATACTGTAAAAATCGATGTAATGCCATTGTATTCTCCAGAGAAGTATTCTACAAGTCCTGGTATGGTGCTGTACGATAAGCATTGGAGTGCATACCACACATTTAGTAGTTCAAACCCACCAGCTGCTTCTTGGAAATCCCTATGCAGGGTCTCTATGAGTCAGAATAGACTCAATGGTACCAACAACAATACATAGCCACATCAGTCAGTCAACTGAGTCCTGGTGTGGCACTGTGGGTTAATGCGCCAGACTGCAAAGCCATTTAACCGCTAGGTCGGCGGTTCAAGGTTACCAGTTGCTCCTCAGAAACCCTAAACAGGGTTGCTATGGGTTAGAATCGACTCAACAGCACTTCACAACAACAACCATGTATCAATAACCATGTCAAGCCCATTTAACTACCATGGGGTCCTCGAACAAAGCACAATAAAGAGAAAGGGGGGAAACATGATGCTGAATTAGAGGCTTACAAGTAAGTTGCTCACATAGGACACTGTGTTTCACTGAACAATGTGATTTTAAAATGCCACAGGCCACAGGGAAGGAGCCCTGATTTACAGTCCAACCTACTACTAACTAGAAATGAGACTTAGGTCAAGTCACCATTTATTTCTTTTTGTCAAATTATCTCATTATGAGCTGGGCTGCTAACCACAAGGTCAATAGTTCGGATCTGCCAGTCGCTGCAGTGGAGAAATATGAGGCTGCTCCTGTAAAAATTTACAGCTTCAGAAACCCTGTCCAAGGTCGCTATGAGTCACAACCGCCTTGGTAGCACACGAGCAACTGGTAAATGATATTAAAACAAACATGGAATCCTACTCTAAATCTGTCTGATCAAATCAAATGCCTCTCCTCAGCCCCCAGGTATCTGATGGGGCTAGGGAGGGGGGATTACCTGGCATCGATCACTGAAGCTAGGTTTTCAGCTTCCATCCTCTGGAAGACATGTGGGAGCTGCACCAGGACATGGCTGATGGAGCCTGTCATCGAGATGCTCCTCACAGCCACCTGCCAGGAGTCAATGAGAGCATGAGGTATGCCATCCCCAAGCCTGACTACATGCCACCGTCTTCTGCTTTATCACTCGGCAAAAAGCCGGAAGCAAAGAATGAGGAAAGAACCTACCTGGCCTTGCAAGTTAGCACAGTACTTGTTGAACACTGAGTTGATCTGAGCATTCTGCAAAGCCCCAAACATCATCGTCTGGCGATAGTACTTGGACCAATTATTGAGGTTCCACATCCGCACTCGAGAAAAGTCCACGCCATGTGAGTCCAGGGGCAGCAAGTTCATGTGATTCATCAAGTGCTTTGAAGAGAAATAACACTACCATTAGTACTGATTTGAACACTTATGCGCCAGGCACAGGTTAACATTATATAAGCTCTCATTTAACACCATGGAGCATGTCATATCATCTCCCAAATTATAAGAAAACCAAGACTCAGATAGGTGAGTCAACCATGGGCAGTACTCCTTGTCCAGGGTCAGCTGACTGTCTCTAACAAGTATTGTTGTTGCTGTTGTTGTTAAGTGCCATCAGGTCAGTTCCGACCCACAGTGACCCAATATAGGGTTTCTGAGGAGCAGCTGGTGAGCCGGAACCGCCAACTCTGCAAACGGCTTTGCAGCCTGACACATTACCACAGTGCCACATATACCCCCAACAAATATGGGCTACCTCTTGGACCTAAAACAAAACAATCAAAACAGTGCCTACAGGAATACTCCTTTAACAGAAACTTCTGACATGTCACCACATTTCTCTATGGCTCTCTTAGTCCTACACTTGGACATAAAGGGAAATGATATGGAAAAGAGCTGGTGTTCTTCAGTGAGCTGATTCTCAAAATACTAGTCATGTTCTCAGAACCCTTATACCTGCTTTTCCTCAAGTTAAATAATATGAAATCTACATCAGCATGTTTTTTTCGATTTTAGCTCTATTTTCCTCCTGTGAAAATTACTGAAAAAACAAGATCACACATTAAGAATGTTTTCTCATCTTCACTGATGACCAAACAAAGGAGAATGGGCATAAAGTTATAAGGAATTACATTAGGTAAAGACACCTTTCTAACGCTGGGGATTTTAAATTAACGAAACAATCCAGCAAGAACACCGAAGTGGATGAATAGCATAAAGAGATCTTTATGGGAAGAAACGTTTTCTAGAGATTTGAAACTAATGACTAGGTTTTTATCTCTTTGTATGGCTTAATTATTGACCAGTCTGTGAGCAGAAGAGGGTAGCAAAGGTTTTTTTCAAATTGAAGATATAACTATTTGCAAACTAAGTTTTAATCTGGACTTAACCCTCTAAAACCAGAGCTTCTTGCCACCCTGTATGTGAATCTTGTCCCGCTAATCACGAATGACCAGCATTACCAGGACATGCTCCCAGTTCTGCATCAGGTAAATGTCAACTTGATCAATGATGAGAAGTTCAATAGAAGACAAAAAGTCAAAATCTCTCTTCTTCTCTCCTTCTCCACCAATAATGGTCCTCAAACCCAGAGGAGAAGCAATGAGGATGTCTGAGGAATAAAATGGGGCATAGAGCCGGATGCTCCTCTGAAGTATTGAAACTCCTGCACAAAACAGCCAAGCACATCAGTTCATTAGACACTACCAAGCCATTAGGTTTCACTTTCCCAAAGCATGCCTGCTTCTCTCCTCTACTTTGCCCTTACAATCATGCTCAAGCTGCTATTAACAGTAGCAATAATATCACCATCCCTCCCTTGCATCTATGGACTCTTCTAGGCCCCACTCTACCTTTTCTTCACTGCTAGATTTATTTGGAGAATTGTCTCTACTTTGAAATTCCCCAGCCACTTTTAAATCCACTGCAATCTGGCTTCTGATACTTGGGACACTATAGAAATTACTCTTGGTAAGGTCACCAACAGTTCTTGCTTACCAATTCAGAGGGCACTTGGATGCTCCTTATCATGACTGCATGAGCGGAAGACTGAAATGCTTTTCCTTACTGGTGGTTTTTAGGACCTCAACACTCACTTCTGCATCTATCACTGACCTGGCCTAAATCTATCTTTCTAGAACCAAATTCTTCTTCCACAAATCCCTGGATTCATCACCAATTCTACTCGCAGTCTACATTAAGCTTTTGGTAAATGTACTCACTAACCATGACTTTGATATCACCATGATATAAATTTATATCCCAGCCCATACCTCTTGCCTGAACTCCACACTCTTATCAGCGGCTTGCTAGATGCCTACACACATCAGCTCTTGCCCCTACCCCACCTGCAGCTTACCCCCCAGCCAAGCTGAAATATGTGTGATTCTCAGGTCATACTAGGCTTATTCACCCTGGTACTCTGAACATACAGCTTCCTGTCGGAAACATTTTCTCCACTCTCAACACTCCCTCTGCCACTGGTCAAATCCTACTGTTTTCAACTTACTACATGTGTCACCTCTACCAGGAAGCCTTCCCTAAGCATCCTCATCATGGATAAGAAAAATAGTTTTCAAATGCATCAATTCTTCTACAGTCTTTCTTATTCATTGTCCAACTTTCACATGCACATACTGTTGCTGTTGTTATGTGCCGTGGTGGCTTTGGTTCCGACCCATAGCGACCCTGTACAGGGTTTCCAAGGGTGTAAATCTTTACGGGAGTAGAAAGCCTGATCTTTCTCCCGCGAAGCAGCTGGTAGTTTCGAACCGCTGACCTTAAGGTTTGCAGCCCGATTAGTAACCACTATGCTACCAGAGCTCACTGACACTAAGAACCATAATTTTATTTCTATACCTCCAGCTTCTTAGCAATGCTCGAAACACAATGAGTGCTCCATAAACATGAACTGATTATGTGCATATATGTGACTAATGAACATGTTACTAAAAACCTTACTCTATTGAGGTACTAACTGAGTAAATGGGAGCTGAGTGAGACGCAAGTACAAGTGTGAAGAGCTGGATGGGAGTCAGTGAGTCAGGCAGGGCGGTGGTTCATGGCTAGGTGCTGCATGCGGCAGGCAAGAGGGAAATCCACCAGGAGGCAGATACTCAGTCTATGCAGCCTCCCCCTCCTCTATGCTACGACCACCAGTTTTGGTTATATCGAGTCAATTTGTATACAGTTAAGACTCAACCCTGGCAGACAAGATGCTGCAGATGCACACTGGTTCTACTCAGGAGGCTGTGTCAGTGACCCTCTAAAAGAATTCCTAATTACAGCTGTGTGTGCCTTGCCCTTGGAGCCCCACAGCCTCTCAGTTCAGACTAGGAGGAATTACCGATCCTGAAGTGGTCATCAATGTTGCCAGCAAACACAGCTTCATAATCCTCAGGCCTCTTCAGGTTGGGTGGTCTCTCCTCAGGATCAGATCCATACTCTCCCTTAAACCTCTTTTTGTTGCTCACAATGATTTTCTTCTTGCTGTCACCCTCTAAGAGGGTAATGAAGAGCTGGACCACCCGTAATGCAGCTTCCCGGAAAGGCACCACTATCAGCACCTGGGGAGGAAGCAACATGCAGCCTGGGTGGGGGCCAGGGAAGAGCTGCCTAGATATGAGCCTGCTGCAGGCTGCCACGGCCAGGGATCCGCCTACATCATCTCTGTGCACAGGGTCTGGCTCAGGACTAGAAGCTGAACACTTTTGATGTGCTCAGTACTATTATGCAGCTCAGGGGCAGGCATGTCTCAAGGAGAATTTGGGAACCACCTTCTAGGATAAACTAGTGCTTTTCACAGATGTGTCCACCAGCAAAACTCAAGGACAGAAACTCAGAAGCTCCTTGAGGACAAGGAACACTACTCCTTTCTGTGTCCTGGTGTGGTATTGTAGGATAAGTACTAGACTGTTAACCATACGGCCTGCCGTTCAAACCCACCAGCCACTCCTTGAAACCCTATACATCATTATGAGTTACAAACAACTTGACCGTACATAACACTGTATTCCCCACAGAACTTAATTTTACCCATAAGATCCACTGAACAAATAAATCTGAATATATAGGTAAATAAATGAATTTTATATATTAAGTAGAGAAATTGTTGTTGTTTGCCACTGAGTCAGTTCTGACTCACAGTGACCAAGTACAGGGTTTCCGAGGAGCAGCTAGTGGGTTTGAACTACCGACCTTGTGGTTAGCAGTCCAGTGCTAATCCTACAGCACTATACCAGGACTGGTGGTGGTGGTGTGCCATGGAGTCAGTTCCGACTCATAGCTACCATGTATAGGGTTTCCAAGGAGCAGCTGGTGATTTTGAACCACCAACCTTGTTCTCACAGACCAGTGCTGATCTGTGAGATATAGCACCACACCAAGAATCATGAAGAGTGTTGTTGTGAAGTGCTGTCGAGTCGGTTCTGACCCATAGTGAACCTGTATAGGGTTTTCGAGGAGCAGCTGGTGAGCTTGAACCGCCGACCTTGCAGAGCAAACAGCTTTGCAGTCTGGTGCATTAACCCACAGTGCCACACCATGAAGAGTGTTGGCAGAATTTAAAGGTATTTCCTATCAAAGCCCTAAATCCACTGAAGCTTAGGCTTATGAGCATCAATAAATTTAAGCATCACTTTAAACAGCACTAGTTACACACTGGAATGCAGGACTTTTAGTTTTTAAAGATTTGAACATTTATAATGTTTAGTGAAGAGAATCCTTGGCTCTAGTCCCATCTCTGCTACTCTCCCCTAAGTCCCTTTAGTAAGACCCTCTACCAATGTGGGTTTCTGTGCACAGGTGTAACATTTAGAGACTGAATGGCAGGCTCATTAGATCCTCTCAGCTCAGACAGTCATAAAGACATTTAGAATGTAGTATTTATACATGTTGGTTGGTTGGTTGGTAATGTGCTGTGGAGTCGGTTCCAACTCAGAGCAACGCTGTACAGGGTTTCCAAGGCTGTAACTTTTTACAGGAGCAGAAAGCCTCATCTTTCTCCCATGGAACAGCTGGTAGTTTTGAACTGCTGACCTTAAGGTTCACAGTCCGTTACCAGAACTCCTTTATATATACATATGTGTTGTTTTTTTTAAGTCTTTAAGGAGCGTATCATGGAGATACCTCCTTCATACAAGCCTGCAGTTAGCCACACAGCAGATACCACATGGCCCATCCAGTGTGCCCATCCACAGGCTTTCATTCTTCCAGCCATTCATGGAAACACCTGAGTTATCTGTTATTCATCCAGCACCTACAAGCAGTGTCTTGTAGCCACTTTCTGGAGGGCGAGGTTCTCCTGCTGCCACTCACCTTGGGCCTTGTAAGCCCTTGATCCCTGAAGTCATCATCATCACCCACCCCAAGTTTCTGGCTTCGGCGTCTACTATTGTTGCCAAGTACCCGGGCATTGGCTTTGAGGGTGTGATTCATGGCATGTAGGCAGTACACATGGCGGATCTCTTCACCATTCTTCAGGGCAGTCCTTTCTGGGTAGAACAGGTCTCGGTAAGAATTCATAATTAAGAAGAGCTCTTTCTGGAGGGGGGTGAAGGGGGCACTTGATTTGCGGGGGCCAGATAAAAACTGGCTGTTGGTCTTGGTCCAGGTGGATTCCAGAGGCTTCTGAAGATGAAGTGACTTTAAGTCAATGTCCTTTGGTGGCTTAAATGTTTCCAACTTCTGGAATTTCGACGAAAAAATGAGCTGGCCCAAAGTGGGCCACTAGGGGAGAGAAAAATCATTTCTACATTAGAAATGAATAAAAGCATTTTACATTCATGTACTATTTAATTTACCAAGAATTTTCACGATATAGGTTATTGTTGTTAAGTGCTGTCAGGTCAGTCCTGACTCATAGCGACTCTGCTTATGGTTTCCAACTGCCAACCTTACAGTTAGCAGTTCACACCAGAACTCTTGAGACAGATTATCTTATTTAATGCTCTCAACAATCCTGCAAGGTACATATTGTACAGCTTGTATTAAAGGTTAGGATAACTGAGGTTCAGACAGATTACATGACCCAAACAAACTTCACATAAGAGGGAACAGTACTGAGGGCTGGAGCCCAAGGTTTCTGGCTTCAAATCTAAGCTCTTTCCACTGTATCTATGTTTTCCAAATCTTTATGAAATAAGGTCTGGGAAGAGTCAAGTTTCATTCTATGGAAAAAAGAGCTTCATGGTTAAACAACTTTGGTAAGTACAAGACTTACCCTCCCTCAGGGAGACTCACAATGTACATTAAAATACTAAAAGTTATATGACAAGTGTTATACCAAAACATAGTTTCATCCAGTTTAACGTAGAGTTTTCCAAATTTTTTTGGAATGAAGCAAATAAATGAAAATCCTAAGGAGCACGAGTTCAGGATCCTAGTTTGGGAATTTTTGTGTTGTGGTAAAATTGATCTAAAAATGGAATGACCTCAACAATAAAAAGGAATGAACTACTGACACACACAAGTTGGATGAAACTCCAGGGGACTATGCTGGATGAAAAAATGCCAATCTTAAAAGATTACATACTGTGAAGACATGGGCTGAATTTGGCCGTGTGCCAGTGACACCCACTGACCTTGAAAAAGAGAAAAGGAAGCGCTGGCTGGTCTTTAGTTTAGGGAGACGTGTGAATTCCTGAGCCTATGGACACTGACCTAGCCAAAGGGGGCTAACATTCAGAGTTAAGCAGCCAGCTGGTCTGAAGTGTGGGGAGGCATGTGACAACTCCAAAACTTGCAGATAGTACCTATTTGACCTAGCTTGGATGGCTAACTGACCAGAACTCAAACCAAATGAAGATAAAGAATTTTGATACTGTGAGCAAGCATAAATTGCTACAATTTGATGAACTGGACCTTTACTTATGGAAGCAATTGTGCAAAATTCCAACTGAAATGGAAGGATTCTTCATTGTCAAGGATCAAGCTTGTCTTCTCAGTACACTGGGTTGATAGGGATGTGCAACTTAAACATTGGCTATCAAAAATGGGGGGCTATAAAGGCTTACAAGGTTTTGTGAGTGTGCTTAATTTCTGAATGAGGGGGGTAGGGTTTTCCTCCTTTCCAGATGCATCTGGTGAAAGGGGATGGGGGATGCGGGTGACAGGATTTTATGAATCATTCGTTGAGTAACTGTCATCAGGACTAATTGCAATTGTCACAGTTCTAATTGTAAAAGATGTGTTACTCTTTTAATTCAGGAACACAGGACCCTAGGACCATCAGGGGAAGAGCATGAGATCCTAACCAGAAAAGGGAAGACAGCAGAGATAGTGGCAGAGGCGATGGCATAGAGAGAGGGAGACACAGAGAGAGCAAGAGAGCAGTTGAGGACTCAAGGCCCACAGACTTGAGAAACACTGTGTGCCTGCATGCAGGAGGCTGGCTTACAAAACGTTCCCTTTGGACATTAAAATGAATAAATTTTTTTTTTCTGCATGTATACATCAAACAACAACAAAAACAGGAAATAGAGGTAAATACTGTTAACTGATGGTGCCACAGAGGAAACTGGTAATTATTGCAATGAAACGATGTTTGATTTGCTGAATGTAAAACTGATAATCACCCTGTAAACCTTCACTTGATTCACAATAAGATTTAAAAGAAAAAAAAAAAGTTACAAACTTTAGGATTCCAGTTATATTATAGTTTTGGAAAAACAAAAATGAGGAAAAATGTGTGTAGTTATAAAAGAGCAACAGGAGGGACCCTTAAGGTGCTGGAAGCTTGACTGTGGTGGTGGATACAGGAACCTATACATACGATAAAACTGTACAGAACTGGATACACAAAGACACACAATTAAGGAGGGTAAAACTGGAGAACTCTGAGTAAAATAGCAGATTATACCATTGACAATTCCTGCTTGTAACATTGCACTACAGTCTGGCAAGAGGTTGCCATCGAGGAAAACTAGGGAAAGGGTACAAGAGATGTCTTCAGTGTGATTTCTTACACCTGCATACGAATCTGTAATTACTGTCACATAAATTTTAATTTAAAAAAGAATGACAGTAATAGTCTCAGTGGTAGGAACAAAGCAGCAAAAACTAGCCCATAGCTGAATAATTTAGTTGTGAATCTATCTCAGGCATATTAAACAAATGAACAGCAGCTATTGTTGTTCTTAAAATTTACCTTGTTATCAGTCAGTAAACTATTTGGAAATAGACATTGTTGTTAAGTTCTGTTGAGTCAGTTTCAATCACAGCGCCCCTGTATAGGATTTCCGAGGAGTGGCTGGTTGAGTTTGAACTGCCAACCGGGTAGTTCAAACCGACCTTGCAGTCTAGTGCTTATCCTACAGCACCCCACCAGGACTCAGGGGTAGGCTTTACTGCCCCTTTAATAGGGAGATAGTGAAGATTTGAAAGGGATATTAACTTGTCTTAGGTCACGTGAAGACCCACTACAAAAATCAGTCTAAACCCTGGTGTACCTGTCTCCAACACCACTCATACCCACCCCTATCGTTTGGCTCCCCACTCCTGCTTCCCAGTGCTACACCTGTGCCCCACTAGGCTCTCCCAGCCTTCCTGTGCCCTGCCCTTGGTGTTTATGCCACACATCTGGGGAGACCACTGTTTTATTTAGATTTCTTTTCTGTTTGTGACTGTGATGACCAAGCAGTACTTACTTTCAGTTGATGGGTAGTTTTGGGATTTGTGGCAAGTGCCTGAATTTCTTTTTCTTTCAGTTCTTTGTTCACATGTTGGAGAAATGGATCTAATATAGAAATAAAGAATGTCAGAAGACTGAGAGCAAATGGCAAGGGGTTTTTGTTCTTCCCTAGTAAATGACTTGCTGTTCTTCACGATGAGGGCTCATCCTTTCTCTCATCCCAAATGACTGCCATTTGGGTATAGGCATGGCTAAAAGGCTGCGGGAGACAGGGTACAGGTTTTTGTAGTTTGAGGTTCTCCCTGGTAACAGACACAATAAGATTACCCACTCCTGGGTCTCACAAAAGGAGCCCCGGTGGTACAACAGTTAGAGCACTGGGATGCTAAGCAAAAGGTCGGGGCAGTTTGAACCCACCAGCTGCTGAGGAAGATAGATGTAGCAAGGGGCTTCCATAAAGACTTCTGACCTTGGAAACCCTATGGGGCAGTTCTACTTTGCTCTATAAGATGCTATAAGGTTGAGTCCACTCAGTATTAGTGGGCTTGGTTTTGGGTAGGTTTGGACCTCACAAAAATGAAGGGTACAGAGAAGACCAGAAGTATTCATAAAACTTACTTCCTTTGGGGAGAAAAGCAGAAATCTCCTCCCTAACCCAATTATGGCCTGGGGTATGGCCTTCCCCACTATTACTCTTCAGTTGTTCTCCTAAACATATTTCCCAACCACTGGGGGCTGGGGCTTTGAGAAGCCTCTTCTCCCAGTTCTAGATAAAGCTGCTGAACTACCTTTTAGTGCTGCCCATTTTAATAGCAGGAGACGTAATGTGCATTGGAATTCTAAGCACCTGGTGAACTTAAACACCACATGCTGTGCTCCGACCTTGTGTCACGTTCAGAGAACAGTTGCCATCACTTTCCTCTTCAAGAAAATTCGTTTCCAGGCTGAACAGTGACTCATGTTTTGCATCTGTGAACTCCTCAGGGCTTTCTTGTTTCGATGTGCCAGGTGGACCTTCCCCATCTTTTTCTTGAGAATCAGTACATAAGGTCAGATCTGCAAATTTGAGAAACATTTTGTAAAACTATTCATAAATGTAATTGTATTTCTGTTGACATATAAAACTGAATTCCTTAGTCTATACCAACAGTGATATTCATCAGGTAGGTGTGTTTTATGCTATTTGTATTTAATGTTTTTTTTAAAAAAAAAAAAAAACAGGTAGCAGTCATAAAGATTTAAAAATTAACCCTGGTCCTTGGGCCTAGGTCAAATTCTAGAAACCTATCCTGGGAGTCTTGGCCTGAAGCTGTGGGCTAATGCATCAGACTGCAAAGTCGCTTTAATTGCATGGTCAGTGGTTCAAGCTCACCAGACGTTCCTTGGAAACCCTACACAGGGTTGCTATGGCTTGGAATTGACTCGATGGCATGTAACAACAATTCTAGGATAGCACTGAAGATATATATGTAAGGATGTTCAAAGCAGAACTGATTATGACAACAAATAGCTGGGAATACAAAATGTCTATCCAAAGATTACTAACAAAATAAATTACTACATATTTACAGTTGAATACTCTGTACTTCAGAAGCTAATGTGAATCCACAGTAATAAGCATGGACAAAAGATCTGTGGTTTATTATTAAAGAAAAAAAAAGTTACAGAAATTTACAGAGACTATTACTATTATAAACATAAGGAGCTCTGGTAGCATAGTGGTCATGAATTGGGCTGTAAACCTTAAGGTCAGCAGTTCGAAACTATCAGCTGTTCCGCGAGAGAAAGATGAGGCTTTCTGTTCCCGTAAAGATTTACAGCCTCGGAAACCCTGTACAGGGTTGCTATCAGTCGGAATGACTCCACCACACATAACAACAATTATACACATACATATAAACATATAACATGCTGTTGTTGTTGCTAAGTGCCGTCAAGTCAGTTCCAATTCATAGCGGCCCAGTATAGGGCTTCTGAGGAGCAGGTGTTTGAGTCTGAACTGCCGACCTTGTGGTTTGAAGTCTAGTATTAATCCTACAGTGCCACAGACTCCCAGTGTGACACTATAAGATCAGAACTGGACTTCTAAACATAAGGTCAGTGGTTCAAACCCATGAATTGCTACTCAGAAACCCTATACTGGGTCACTATGAGTTGGGATCAACTCAAAAGCGCTTTACTATAGCAAATAAATTACTTTCATAATTTAAAAAAGAAAACTACTCATATTTTTTTTAATTCCCCCCCCCAAAAAAAAAACAAACAAGCAAGCAAACAAACAAACAAAAAAAAACAACCCTAAGTCTGAGGCAATGAATTTTTATCTGAGTAAAACTGATCAGTTAAAAAAAAAAATTAAGAGATGTACAAAAACCCCTAAAGCATCGACAACCCAACAAACATCAAAATTACAAGGCTTTAAGGAAAATAAGTATGAAGACAGTAAGAGTTGTAAAAGTCACTTATTTATACTCAGACAGAGGAATACAACTCCAGCAATGAAAAGGAATGAACTGCTAGTATATATAACAACACGGATAGTTCACAAAACATAATGAGTAAGAGAAGCCAGATGGAAAAGAGTACATATTATAAGGTTTCATTCATATTCAATTCAAGAACAGGCAAAACTAATCTTTAGTGATTGCCTGATGCCAGGGGTAGGCAAGTGACTTCAATGGGACAGGAAGGAGCTTTTTGGAACTAATCAAAATGCTCTGTATCTTGGTATTAGTGACATTTACATGAATGCAAAGAATCCTGGTGGTGCAATAGTAAAGCACTCAGCAGCAAATGGAAAGTTGCATTTCGAACCCAGTAGCTGGTGTCAGGGAGAAAAGACCTGGTGGCCTGTTAGCATATAGAAACCTGATGGGATGATTTACTCGTTCCTATCTGTTGTTAGGAGTCCTGGGGTGGCGCTGTGGGTTAATGCTGCAAACTGCAAAGCCGTTTGAACTGCAAGGCGGCAGTTCAAGCTCACCAGCTGCGCCTTGGAAACCCTATACAGGGTCGCTACAGGTCAGAATTTACTCGATGGCACTTAACAACAACAACAACAACAACATTTGTTGTTAAGTGCCATCAAGTCGGTACTGACACATAGCTACCCTGTATAGGGTTTCCGAGGAGCAACTAGTGAGCTTAAAACATTGACCTTGCGGTTCAAACTGACCTGTCAGCCCAGTGCATTACCCAGAGCATCACATTTTGCTATATAACAGAATGGGTTTGACAACATACAACCACAATAACAACATGGATGGATGCACTTCTCAACACTCTTAAAATGGGTGTATTTTATTTATATTAATTATCCTTTGGGCTTTAAATCCCTGAGCCTTTCCTAATTTATCCTGGCACTCTGCATTTCATCAACACCTTATACGTAACTAATTGTTCCCTACAAATCAGCTGTTAGAAAAGATTTTTTATTTTTATCTTACATTAAACGTGGTCTTCCTGAGGGAGTAACGTTAATCTCATAAATAAGGTGAGACTGTCACAAAGATATGAAAATGCTCTCCTGGCTCTGTATCGGAGAGACTTTAGGATCATCGAAGTCACTGAAATCGTAAGCAAAAAATTTTTTGCATTTTCCTGGTGAAAATGTTTGCAATAGATTCTTAAAGCCATCAATGAATCCAGTAAAGTTAAGAATCTTGGGTATGTATTCCTGTGCTCTCAGCCAACTCACACAGTACAGGGCACAGGACCCAGGGTCCACACCAAAGCCACCTACTTTCCTGCATGTCAGCAGATGCTGCTGCTGTCTCTGCTTCCACACTGACATCACCATCATCATCTTCATCACTCATCTCTTCATCTTCATCTACAATTGCTTCTTCCTCTTCTTCCTCCTCCTCCTCATCGTCCTCTTCTTCTTCAGAAACATTCTTTAATGTAGCAAGCAGCTTATGGTACCCAGAAACCTGTTCTGGTTCACTCTCTGCTTCACTTTCAGAAGAGGAATTATCCGAATTCTGTGACTAAAAGGAAAATGGGAATTGTGGTGGGAAAAAACAACAACCCAACTTTATTGTTCTTACTGTTTGGTACCTTATGTCTATCATTAAGCCAATGTGTAAAGGTTCCAACTTTCCATCTAAAAATTCCGTTTCCTACAAATATCATGCAATCCTATCTATTTAATCAGGTCCTGCATGAAATTTATTTAAAATAGCGAATTTAACTATAATTCTAAAAGCTTGTATCATTTTGAAAAGGTTAATACCCCACGTGGGAAGTACAACGACTTTTTAAGATTGAACTTTAGGTCTTAATGAAATATAATCTTTGTCCTAGACATAGGACATGGTCCAAATTTAAAGGAGCAAACAAGAGAAATTCTAATACAACAAAAGAATGTAGTTTCTTTGAGTTTGTTGTAATAGGGTAGGTTTGTTGCTCATTTTGTACTCTATTTGTAGCTCATTTTATGCCAAGCATATAAGAACTCCCCCTTAGAAGCCCTCTGGGAAGCCTCGTTATCTGGCTCTAATAATTGGGTAGCTTCAAACTTAGAACCGTTTTAAACTATTGGCCTCTGTTAGCTATCAGCATGACATTTTCCTAGGCATCAATATTCGTTAACTAATCAATACTACTAACATAACTGCTTACACCAAAACTGTAGAGAATGGCAATATGGTCAAATTTTATTATATACAGTCTTAAAAGTGACAACCCAGAACCCCTTATTATAAAGATGTTAATATAATGTATTACCAGTTGACAAATCTGTGGTTTTGCTTCCTTTCTTGAAACCCTGGAAAGGAAAAAAAAAACAACCTGTTAAACTCTAATAACTACTATGTGGTTACTAGAGGAAAAGTCTAATGACAACTTTAAGTGAAAAAGGCCGAATATGCCATTATATATAACAGTCATGACACATAATTGTAGTCATGTGAAAATTACATACACCCTTGACCAATGGGTGATAACTGACACATGAAACAAAAGGGTCATGATAGTTAACTAGAATCACTCAATAACTGAATCTCATCTAAAAGAATGACACCATTTAATAAATAAAACTTTTTTCGAGTAAATCTCTTAATCAGAATATCCCATCAACAGAATGGTGGAATGAAGACTTAGATTCTGGGGAAGACTGGACTATTTACAAAGGAACCTACAATTACTGACTGCACAGGAGGCACTAGACAGACAGGTCTGTGTTCTCATTATAATCAGACAGATCAAAACGTTGCTGAACTCAAAACCAATTTTCAATGAGTCAATTTGACTCATAGTGACCCTACAGGGCAGAACAAAACTGGTCCTTTCCGAGACTGTGAATCTTTATAGGGGCAAAATGTCACATCTTCATCCCGTTCAACGTTTGGTGGGTTCGAACCGCCGATCTTGAGATTAGCAGCCCAACACTTAGCCCACGGCACCACCAGGGTTCCTAAAATGACGTTATTTGATACAGTAATAATTTTTATATTGAGTCCTGGTGTGGCGCTGTAGAATAAGCACTGGACTGCTAAACGCAAGGTGGGCGGTTCAAACCCACCAGCCTCTCCTTGGAAACCTATTACCCGGGTCACTGTGAATCGGCACTTAACAACAATAATTAAAAACCAACCAATATTTATAAGTGCCTTCTTCGTCACAACGGTACACAAATATATCCCGATATTTTAAGTCAGAAAGCTAATGTTTAGAAAACGCTACAGACTAGAAAGAAAGGAATAGAAAATCCAAGTCTGTTAGATTCAAGCACGGACTTTAAAAAAAAACAAACAAACAAAAAAACAGTAACAACCTTAGGAGATCTCCGACCTTACAAGACTTAGTGCACACGATAGTAGGCGTGTCGTCTAACATGAAGACCTAGAAAGAATCGTGCAGAACCTCCCGGCGGGGTATCACCAGAATCCTCCTCACTCGAGACCCCACGGGGTCTAACTCAGCACCGCAGGCGCGGGGAAAACGTGGGCATAGGTAGGAACAGCCGTCACCATCACTTGGGAGGCCGGCGGACCCCAAACTGGGAAACTCTGGGCCGACTCAGGCAGTCCAGGGCTCAGCTGCCCCGCTCCATACCTGTCATAGAAGGGATGCTCCTCGCCGAAATCCCGAAGATGCTTCTTCTGCTTTTTAGTTAGGGTGTTGAGCAGCTGGCTCTGTCTTCGGTTCCCGCGTTTGCCCATAGCCAAAACGTCAGCTTTCCCCACCTCCAACCGTAGCGTTTTTCACCAGGAAAATGTTTCTTCAACACACCCACGTGGGGTCGCCGCTGGCGCTTTACGGCGGACGCCGAGTGCCATAAAGCAGTTCCACTTCACGTCGCACTTTACGTCAGGCGTTAGAACTTCCTGGTCCCGATTCTGCCCCCTGCCGAGGCTGCTTGAAAGTACAGGCGCGTTCTCAAGGTGTTTTCTTTGATGGCCGGGCTTCAGGCTTCCTAGGCAAGGTGAATGAACAGAGGACTTCCTGTGCTTCATTTCATCGTGGGATTTAGTCTGCGTCAGTGTGTAGTAACGAATATAATTGAGTGCGAAGACGTCGTATGATATAGTAATAATAATTTTTAAATGGAATCTTGATGTGGTGCTGTAGGATAAGTATTGGACTGCAAGGTATGCGGTTCAAACCCACCACCCTCTCTCCTTGGAAATCTTAAAAGGGTCACTAAAAGTCGGCACATAACAACAACAACAATAATAAAATACCAACCAATATTTATGGATTCCTGGTATCTGTCACTTCATTGTCACAACGGTACACAAATATGTCCCAATATTATAAGTGAGGAAGCTGATGTTTAGAAAATGTTACACACTAGCTAGCAAGGGAGCAAGTGGAAACCCAAGCTTATTTAATGCGACCACAGACTTTTACTCACTAGGCTCTACCTCTTGTGTCTGCATCCAGGGTGATGTAAATGCTTAATGGCTAGACTACGAGTCAAAATGTTGATGACTGGAACCACCCAGAGATGCCTCGGAAGACAGGCCTGGTGATCTGTAGAGCAGAGTTGATTCAAGGCTACTAATAACACAAGGCTGAACTTTTTGACCCCAACCCACCCTTGCATTTTCTGGAAGTATTGGAAAAGACCCTAGAAAACTCATTTTACAACAGTAGAAATACATCCAGAGAGGCAGTGGAAGTTAATGTTAGAGAAGATAGTAGACCTAACTAATTCCAGTGTCTCAAAACTGGATTCAGAGAAAAGGAGCGTGAAGAAACCTTATTATCGTGAGGGAAGGGTGCCACATCTTGATTGCTGTGCTAGTTACACCTTGTAATCAAAATCCATCAAACTGTAGACTTTAAGATAATGAATGTATGTATGTAGGTAACATAAGTCAACAAGAGGAAAAAGCAAAAACTCAACACTGGCCTCAATACCCAGGATTTTGCCAACTGATGCAGGACTTTTTGAGACTACAGAATAATCATCATGAGAAGTGGTTTTCCAATAGTAATTTGTAATAAAATGTTCTATTTAAAAAAAAAAAAAAAAGTGCTAAATCAGATCAGGAGTCCCTAGACGGCACATATGGTTAAATATTAGACTACTAGCTGAAAGGCTGGTGGTTTAATCCTCCCAAAGACCTGTGAAGGACAGACCTGGCAGTCGGCTTCAGAAAGGTCATAGTCTTGAAAATCCTTTGGAGCGGTTCTCCTCTGCACACATGGGGCATCGTGAGTCAGAATCCACTGGAAGGCAACTAGCAACCACCACAAATCATAGACCACAGAATGAAGCTGGATGCTTAAGGTAAAACAAGAGGCTCTGCTTTTGGGATGTTTCTGGGGAAGGTTTTGGAGCTTTGCCCACTACTGTGGCACACCTGAGAGAAGCAGTGATGAAACCACTAGCATCCTATTCTAGTTGGTTCTAGTGGTCGTTACTCCTAATTAGAGTCTGGGTAGCTGGGATTGGGAGAGAGCATATCAAGAAAATATGCAAACGCCAATGGTGCCAGCATCTGGACAAACTGAGGAACCCATAAACAAACACATCTGTCTTCTATCTAATTTTGAGATACAAGGTACTGTCATTTGTGTCAACAAAAGGTTGTTTGTAAAATGCCATCATATATTTTAAGGCAGTAACCACAGTATAATCTAGCCAGACAGTAAAGAGTCATACTTTCCCCCTCCTCGCATCCTATCCCAACTGCCCCAGCTCCCCTCCCCTGAGGCAACCCGTTTCTTGAGGTTCTTCCAGAGATCTTCTATGAAATGATATGCTCTCCACTCCAAGTGGTTGCTTATTCTCTTGGTTTCCACATCCTTGTTCTGTATCTCTGGGTGGGTGTGCAAGTGTAAGCAAAACTTCACCCTATCCCCACCAAAACCATCTCATCATTGATTCCCTGAACTATGAAGTGAAAGCTCTGTTCTGGAAATATCTCTGTTCACCTTTGATAAAATGAAGGGGATCCTGGAGCGGCTAGAAGAATAAAAGATACCTCTTGAAAGAAACACCTGCAGGAAAAATGGAGGCAGATGGACTGTTACTACAAGAACAAACAAATCGCTTCCCTAGGAAACATCAAGGCAAGTGGCCAGGTCCTCTCAATGCAAACCCCCTTCCAAGACTAAGACTCAA